TTTTTGGCCCGAATAGGGCCCGGCTGGGTCGGGCCTTGTTTTGGGTGACCCGAGCCCGGACCGGAAAACTCACGGGCTGGGCCTACCCGGACCGGTCACTGACCGGGCCACCGGGCCGGGTCGGGCCGGAATAGTACCGGTCCCGGGTCGGGCCACCTGGCCCGAGTTCATCCCTAGTCACACTATGAAACTTTGGGAGCGAGTGGTTGAGCATAGGGATGGACTCGGTTCAGGCCGCTCGGCCCGGAACTGGACTGACCCAGTACTGTTTAGAACCGGCTCGGCTCGGGAAACTGGTTCTAGTTACGGTTCGGGCCTAGGCCCGAGTGGTTAGGTGGTTCTGGGCCCGGGTCAAGGAAAAGGCGAACCGGTCTGGTTCGGGCCTTTTTTATTTTATTTTTTTGTTTTTTTTGGGTTTGGGCTGGGTTTAGTTGGGCTGGGTTGGGTATTTCCTAGAGGTTTGGGGGGATGGGGGTGGGGCTGAAATAAATAAGAAACAAAAAATGAACCGGAACTGGCCCGGCTCGGAACTGGCCCAACTCGGAATCGCCGCCTACCCGAGTCGGTTTCGGTTTACACATTCCCAAAAAAAGGCCCGGCCGGGCTCAGGCCCGAACCGGAATCGGCCCAGCCCGGGTCCATCCCTAGTTGAGCAAAGACTTCGTAAAGGTGTGAAAATTTCGGAGAATCGATTTGGTTTTATGTATGGACGCTCAACAGGTGAGGCTATTAACCTTCTTAGGCAAGTTGTGGAGAAATACTAAGACACTAAAAAGGATCTGCATTTGGTGTTCATTGACTTAGAAAAGGCATATGATAGGGTACCTCAAGAAGTCCTTTGGTGGGACTTAACTACAAAAGGCATATCATGTAAGTATATCAGTATCATCATGGATATGTACGATGCTTGTAATACCTATGTCCGCACTGATGTATGGAGGACCGCAGAGTTCCCTGTTACTATGAGAATGCACCAATGATCTGCTCAGAGTCCTTTCTTATTTATTATAGACTTATAGTCGTGGATGAACTTACGAAGCCAATTCAAGAAGATATACCGTGGTGCATGGTGTTTGCTAACGATATTGTATTGATTGATGAGACACAATAGGGTGTTAAAACAAAGTTGGAAGTATGGCGACAAACATTGGAGATCAAAGGTTTGAGACTGAGCCGAAGCAAGATCAAGTATATGGAGTGCAAGTTTGGTGGATGTAGAAGTAGTAGCAACAGTGGGATTACTCTTGATGGTAAGGAGATACCGGTGTGTGATATGTTTCATTACTTGGGCTCCATAATTCAGAAGAATAGTGAATTAGATGGAGATGTATCTCATAGAATCAGAGCTGAGTGGATGAAATGGAAGAGTGCTTCAGGATTTCTATGCGATCGAGATATGCTGACTAGACTGAAAGGTAATTTTATCGAACAACAATTAGGCCTGCATTAATGTATGACGTAGAATGTTGGGCGATGAAACAATGTCACATTCAAAAGATGAATGTGACAGAGATGCGTATCTTGCGTTGAATGTGTGGACATACCAAAAAAGACCGCCTGAGGAATGAGATAATCGGACAAAAGGTGGGAGTAACACCTATAGAAGATAAGATGCAGGAGTCTTGCTTGCGATGGTTTGGACATGTGCGCAGAAGACCGAGTGATGCACGTGTTAGGCGACTTGAGGGGTGAGGAGAAGAGACAGAGAGGAGAGGGAGGGGAAGACCCAAACAGACTTGGATTAGAGTATCAAAACTGATATGCGTCTTCTTGGGTTGGATAAGAGTATGACTTTGGAGAGGGCAAAGTGGAGGGCGCAAATTCGTGTGGACGATTGATCTCTTTTCTTTTTTTCCTCTCCTTTTCTTTTATCGTTTATCTTCTTTCTCTTTTTATGTTCTTACGTTATTTTTATCTTCTAGCTTTTTATGCTCTTTTATCTTTTAATCTTTTATCTTTCTTATATTCTTATGTCATTGTTATCTTATATTTATTTATCTTTATCTTATTTGTTTTATTCTTTTTTTCTTGTATGTCTTCTCTTTTTGGCATCAATATCATGGATTGTTTCATGTTAGCTGACTCAAAATTTTTTGGGATTAAGATTTGAATGTTGTTGTTGTTGCTGTTTTATAATAGTCAATTAAATATTAATGGTTAAAGCTATGCACGGACAAGTTTGAAGGTCAAACCGTTGCCACTAATTAAGAATGGAAGAGGAATTACTTATTTTGTTCACCAAATGGAGGTGGGTGTCTAACATTTAATGAACGTAGTAGTGTGACGGCGGACATTTGCAAAAAAGTGTGATGGCAGACATATAATAGAGATAAAAATAGAAAAATTAATTAATGAAAATTCTCTATTTCTTTCCTTTGGGTTTTGAATTTTTGATCACTTTTTACTTGTTAATGTCTAAATCTAGACATTATAAATAAAAGAATAAAAACTTACAAAAACGTGAAGAAAGAGAAACATACTTCCTGTATACTTGAATAAATGACACCAAAAGTTTTCAAGAAGATCACAAAAGCTATGGGGTAATGAGTAGGGTAAACTAGTAGGGAAAAGGAGAAAAATAGGAAGGTTCAAAGAAAAGGGTAGAAAAAAGAAAAGTGTGAGATAAAAGTAGGAAAATTAGGGAAAAAGTAGATGAATAAGCATGATAACTTTCTTTAGAAATTGCTCTAAATAGGAGCAAAAACGTTTTGAAATTTCAAAATAGGAGTGTTATGTTTTTTATTCCCTGAATAAGAGTAATCTGCCAATTTTGAAAAAAAATGACATGTTTAAAGCCTTTTAATACCAAATTTGACATAAATTTACTCTTATTCAAGGAATAAAAACACATAGTCCTGTTTTGGAATTTCAAAACTTTCTTACTCTTATTTAGGGAATTCTCTCTAAATTATTGCAACCCAAACCAGCTTGATGATACACTTACCAAGCCTTAGTAAGGTTCAACACTCTCAAACATGAATTAGGAATGATGGACAACCATGACCCTATGCCTTTTTTAAAGTGGTAATCTGATTCGAAGGAAACAACGCACCGTGGATGCACAAGTTCAAAGGAATAAATGACCAAATCATTAAATCATTGCAATTTGCAAAAGCGAGTATAAATCTTTCCAAGTAGAATTAGTTGTTGAAGTGGCAAAGCAAGAAGCAAGAGGACGGAGCCAACTAACCCAACCTGCTGTGTAATCATTGGAATTTGGATTCTTTTTCTTATATTCATTGTTGTTCCAAAAGGGTGGAATCGCCCACTCGAAGAGCCCTACACCCCGATCCCACAAAATGGTGGAGGAGTAAGTCACGGTGATTCAGTCGGTTCAATGGTGGTGGACCTTATACAGTTATACCCGTGCGCATCAGACGTCCAACTCATCACACGAGAGTTGTAACCTCCACACGGGTGTCGAACCTTGATCATTGTTCCAAAATTTCCACAAGTGGACCAACTGAGCTACTCATGCGGGTTTCTAATATTCATATTGCCATGATAGGTAAGTAAGGATATCGAAGGATAGTCCCTCATTCTCAATGCAAGCTAGCTCTTACTTGTGTTTAGTGAGGAGGTGAATATAGCCCTGGTTCTTTCTTCCTTGAGCAAGCTCGGTGCTAACGCCCTAATGCACCCCAATTTTGAAAAAAATCAACATTCTATACATAAAATATATATTGCCTAAAAAATTGATATAAAATTCTTTGTATTGGTATACACTAATATTTGTTCTAGCTAGGCCATTAGCAATATAATGCAATGCTTTTCCGATGTTAATCATCACATAAATAGCAATTTTTTGTAGCTTTAATAGTACATTTATTTCAAATTTATATACGGTAAGTGTTTGATACATAAATCTACAAAGTTAAAGAAAGTAGATATTATTTAACCTGAAATAAAATTACTTTTTAAATTTATCACCTTTTCTCTTCTAGTATACGTTTATATATAATACATCAATTCTTAACTTTGTGTCTCACTTAGCTTTTAGGATATTTTTACTTGGATTGTTTTCAATCGCAGACCAGACTTAAACAGATCAGACTTCTGTAGTTATTGTGAAAGTATATATTTCAACAATTATAAAATACATAGAGATCGGACATTTACCAGACCAAACCAGCCAATTCAGACCAAACCAACAAATTACAATCAAAAACATCTGTATTCTTCTTTCAAAAGTTATGCAACACCACCCAAATGTATCATTCATTATTGGAAAGGGAAGAGGATCTATTTTATTTATTTATTTAGAATTAAATTACACGTATAGAACAATAAATTAAGTACATGCATTTGTCACAATATAATACAATAGTATATACACAGGTCACATACATATTCGTTTCCGCTACAAAATCCTTGATAGAAATGAAGACGCCTTTTTGGGGGGACAAAGGTAATTGTATTATGAATTTTGAACATCCATCCAATAGGATGGAGAATCCTCTAGCTTACGCAAGATTCCATCGAAGCTGACTTGGATGATGAACTTGAGACTAGATACCCCATCTGGAATTTCCAGATCAGAAACATAAAATGCCTCAACCATTGCATCTCCAAGATAAATTTCTTTCTCATTGTCTGAGAGTTTGTTTATTTTCTTTATATATATTTTGTACTGCATTGATGGACCAACAATATTTCCATGTTCCAGCTGCTTCCACGTAAGCATCATGCTAAGTTTCCTTGTTTCTTTTGAGTCTGAAGACCATTGTACATATCTACTCTCAGTGACCCATGAATTGGCAGGAGCTGTTGATGGAGATATTGATGAGTCTGTTGTAACCGAAATATGGCCCAGAACTGCATTGTATTCGGTTGATGAACCCGAAAATGTTTTCTTTATATCATAACAAACAGCTCCAATTTCGGTTAATGTGTATCCTTCCATTGTTATGGAACTTTCTTGTACAGCCCATCCCGGTTCTAGTCCCGCCTTTTTAATGTGACGTGGCATGATAATGGAACCAAAATGTTTCGCCAACTGGTTGTGTGTAAGCAAGGAGTCTGTGCCCGATGCTAACAAAATGGACGTTTTCTTCTCAGAATTGGATGAGAAGAGATCAAGGTAAAGTCCTAGTAGAGAACTCCCACTTGATTTTACCTGTATCCATTTTGAACATAGCAGCCAAGGGGCGGTTTGGTAAATATTTATTTGTTTTCACATTTTTCGGAAACAGAAACAATAAAATGTGTTTGAATGTTTTGTATTTAGTGCAGTTTATTGAAACAAAAACATATTTAAGCGTGCTTTGATGTTTCATTTTTTAAGAAAGAAAGTTTTCAACTCTTTGTCCCACGAGGCAAGGATTATTTGGTCATTCGTTCCATTTATGGAGCACGATTATGGTTTCGCGTTGCTTTCCCGCTTCTCTGGTCACTTATGCGGAGAAAATCAATTGGGAACTGGTCGAATAAGTGATTGAGAACACTAATACTAATGATACCAAAAATGACATAATACTAATGGTACAAAAAATGGGTAATTTCTTTTAACGTATGTTTCGATGGTGTATCTTGAAAAAACATTCAAAGCCCTACTTCTGAACTTGCTCTTAAGAAACATGTTTCCTATTTTTATACTATTCATAAAGCAATCAGACTTTTCGTAAAAATTCTATAGACATATGTGTGTGCACCAGAACAAACCTACCATATATATTTATATTTTAGAAATTTGAAAAGAAAAAGTAAAAATTTTAAAACGCAAAAAGGAAAATGTTATCAAACGAACCTTTTCCCCATTACTAAATGCCATTGATTCATTATATAAACAAATTATAACGACTTACTGAATATGTGAAGTTGAGTGGTGACTTTCCCAAACGAAGCTTCCCCTCAAATAATTTTGTTTTGAAATGATAACTGTCATCAAGAGTTCCCCTGAATGTGATGCTCCCTCCACCACTATAAGATCCTTCCTTGAAACTAACAAGTCAAACATAAGCTATGCTGAGTCTCATTAGAAACTTGGGAAACATATGTGAATTGATGCAAGAAAGGAAACAAAAATCAGAGATTAAACTTACTCAACAAAAGTTTGGATATTTTCAGCTGTAAGTTCTCCAGAAGTAAGGAATGGCTGAGACAAAGTTCGTGATAATAGACAGAAAAATCCAATAAGGTTACAAGAAAACAACAACAATGCTGTATATACTATATAGATTACCCCTGCTGATCCATCATATGAAGAGGAAAAATTCCTACTTTTTTTTATCAGTTTGGTGCACAAAATATAGATCTCTTGCCACTACTGCTCATTACTAATCCCTTATGTAGCAAAACTGTACTGCAATTGGTTGAATAAGTGGTTTGAAGGACCAAAAGTGGCAAAAACATCCATTTCCGTGCAGCAAAAAGTGGAAAAGATGAAAAGTGTGGACCAAAGCAGTATATAACCTAATACCGTGGGCCAAAAAATGTAATTTATATTACGACGAATGCTAAGGTTACAAAAGCAAAAAATGAAAACTTCGCACTACATCCATAGCTACATCAACTGAGCTGTTTATGGTTTAATCATCACGAAACGGTGAGTTGAAAATTATGTTTATATTACAATGATGATGATGATGATGATGATGATGATGATGGAACCAGTAATCAGAATACATGGACATTTCGATGCTATTCACAAGGGACAGCAGAAAGTTGCATAAACGAGTAAAAAAGTAAGGAAACGGAAGGGCTATCAAAATTAAGAAGCATACTTGGAAGCTTTGGGAAGAAATGTTGTTCCAAGGAGCGTCCAGTACTTTCACCCCATCAACAAAAACATGGTAACCATGACCCTAGTAAAGAATAATCATAAATCATATATTGTACTATGGTATTAAATATAAATACTCCATATTCTCGTTCGATACCTGATCAAAGTTTGAGTAGAACGGAAGAACTTGGGGGTAAGTCTGTGAGATTCCCCAGGATTTCTCAACAAGTCCCCACCAACTACATTTGAACATATGAAGTTAAATCATTAATTATTCTATGAAAAGAAAACGCATAAACTTGTGTTAAAGTAGCTGACACGATTTTGTTCAGAAATAGTAACTGACAGAAGTAATCAAAGTTTCCAAAATGCTGAGTATTACCGAGTTTGAGCGGTCTGAAAATCAGGTGGCTGGTTAGTCTCATAAACCCATCCAGGAGCAAATATGGCTGCCGAAACATTGTGTTTCTTAATCACATCAAGGGCCACATTTGTCTGCACAGATGTTCAAAGTTCATTCGACTCAGAACTTAAAAAAAATTATTACGGAGTATAAGTTTATACATCATTCTTAAGGGTATGTTTGGATCACAGAAATGCTAAGGAAATGAAAAAAGTGTCTAGGGAAGTTGTTTTCTTATGTTTGGTTTTACCTTGGACATTGCAAATGAAAAAAATTGACTAATTTTCATTTATTACTTTTTCTAAGTCATTTATAATAGACATAATTAAATAAAATGAGTGCCAAAGAATATCTGAATAAATGCATTGATTTTTAGTATATCTACGGTTTTCCCGTTTTTCTCTTTCATTCAAATTCCCCCAATATTTTCCATCCTAATTTTTGCTCAAGTATTTTCCAGGTTCCGACTTCCGAGTGGACCTTAAGAGACATTGTAGCAGGAAAAAATGTACATAAACCCACCGTCCATTGTCCACCTCCATAAGTATTTCTTCCAAAAACATCAATTCCCATATACACATCAAACTTTCTCTCCCCAGCAACAGAAGCTGACTCCATAGGGTAAGTTTCCTGAAAGTGGAGAGGGGGTGGGGGGAAGAGTGGTAAGCAAGAAACCAATATAATTACAACTAAACAGGTGATTATAAATAAATCATTGAAAGTATTACCTTCCATGAATAGTTCACAAATATTCCATCACATACATCAAAAAACGGCTTATTTTTTTCATTTAACTGATCTTGCCAAATAAGTTTACCATCAGTGGTAACACTATCATACCTGCAACATTACAGTAATGCAATAAGTAATAATTCTTTATTTTGCTATGGGTGTTGTTGAGAGAAAATGAGGAACTCAAAGCAACACAGCTAAAGAACATCCCTGACATAGGCAAGAGAAGGTGGCCACTCTGAAATTATGGATCATACTACTAATGAATAGAGCTCATTTATACTGGTCAAATGAGTCTTAGAGGACCAGTATAAGGGTAATCATAATCCTATTACGTTACTGCTGTCATGAATATTAGCTAAAATAGACTGCTAATATAAAAACACTACTGCTAATAATAATAAAATAATACTACTGCTAATAAAGTAAAATAATAATAGTAACAATAGTAATAATAATAGGATGTTTCCTTCAACAATATTTCTCCAGCTTCCTTTCACGCGGCTCTATCATGAAAAAGACGTGTATCATATATTTTCCAAAATATAGTAGTAGTGGTGTGATGATGATGATGATGATGATGACGACGACGACGACAACAACAATGTAATAATAACAACAACAACAACAGCAATGAAAGTAATCGCAAAATGTGTCATGTAATACCATATAACCAAAGATCCGGGGACTAATGAGTGCATGGCCTGGGTCAAATGGTTGACAAATTCTATCAAGTTAGGGAGTTGTCCAACATCGATCTCAACTTCCAAGTTAATCTAGCAAAAAAAGTTACTAGTTTAACTCATCCCGTCATTTTAAATTGAAAAAAAGATAAAAATGAACATATAAAGCATTGAGTTCTCTTCCTATTATAATGAAATCCAAATCTTAAATGCTATCAAAGTCAATCGAATGAATCAGTCACCCTCACCCTCATACGGGCATGTTGATCCATCCAAATTAAAAATAAAAATAAAAATACAAACCTACATATAAATATGCATCTCAAAGAAGCAATTTGCACAAACAGTGTGTTTTTATTAGCTTCTTCTAGATTTCTCCCTCCTCACCTTCCTGTTATTATCAACATTATAATCATTTTTTCAAAAACAAGCAAGTTCAAATGATTCTTTTAGTGTAGCTAAAAGGACTACATTTTCAGTTCCACTGATCCAAAGACAATAGGAAATCTCTGGATACCACATAACTTGAATTAAAAAGTAGAATAAATTAAAAATAAATAAATGGTAAGAACATATTTCAATTTGCACCCAAAGCATACCAGCCAGCCATCAAAGCCTAGAGCAACAGCAAGCTCAGTTAGTCTCTCTGCATACATTAAAGTTGATTCCTTTGTTGAGAGTAGTTTTTTGGCAAGATTTCTCCCTTCTTCCCACTCCATTATAAATGTCCCTAGAACCTTATTTGAAATCGAGTGGAAAACAAAACAAAAAATCAGAGTAAGAAGCAAAGATAATAACTTGATAGCTGAATTGTTGTGAGACACTCTTCAACACCCTTCAGGTTTAGGCAACTTCATCTTAATATAAGAACTTTAAGTATTACTCTCATATCAAGTGTTAAGACTTAAAAGAATAACGATATGTTTAACTCCACACAAAAAGAGCTCTCATGTCCAACACTTATTAAAGGTTTAATGGTTTATACTCCGTATTCATCTGATGTTTAGACACTCTTCAACATATTGAGATGAAGAAGCTTCATTTGTATACTTTGACACACTCTTCAAAATTATATGAATGAATTATCTCTAATTCCTACACATTCAAGTTCGAACCATCAAGAAGCTAGGATGATATATTGATTCAGTCTTTCATAGTTAGCTGATGTCACTATGTCAGATACTAAATAGCGCATTAATTAGACGGAACAACATAATCTTTATCATATACCTTAACTCCATGCTTATGAGCGGTGTTTGTCCAGCAAGGAGGAGGAAGAGTAACCAAACTGTGGGAGAAATAAACAAATACATCCATCAAATACCAATGCCATATACCATACGCATCGGGATTTGTACCTCCCTGCACCCACTTATCATCACCGTATCCTCCCGCCATGTCGTGGCAAACCAGAAGCCTTGGCCGTTGCGGAAGCAGGCCGGAGGAAGCTGCAGGGAGCTTGACGGAGGCCTTGTTGAACGGGAAGTGGAAGGATTCGAAGTAGGATCTGGATTCGAGCTCTTCTAGAGTCTTCAGCGCGTAAGAAATCGGAACTGAGGGGATTGAGGGATCGAAAGGCGGAGGAATGGGAGGATCGTCCTCGGAGTTTGAACTCTGGCGAATCTCCGCCATTGGGTTCAATGCTGAGAGGAAACGGAGAAGAGAATCGAGAAGAGTTTTGAGCTGAGCTAAGGTATGGCGGTAGCGGGATTTTATATGGGCTCGGAGAGAGGATGGCATCGTAGAGAGAAGACAGAACCGCCATTTCCGTTGGAGCCGAATCCGTTGATATAGACATGTTGACTCACACTCAGGGTAAGGAATCAAGAAAGTATTTCAAATTAAACGCACTTTTCCTTCTTAAATTGAACTTTTTTATAAACTCAATTTCAAATTTTATGAAATTCACAAAAATTTGAGGATGAGTTAGAGTAAATTATATGATACAACCCACATTTTTGTAATCAGTTACAACTTTTAGAGTAGTACTTAAATTGAGTTAATGTTCCTTTTATATTCAATTTTTATGAAAATGTATTATATAAAATATTAAATGTCCTGTTTTTTTTTTTCAATCAACTTTCTCACCTAAGCTCTTTTAATTTATGTATTATAAAATATTTTAAGTATTAATGTTTTATTTTTCTGTTTTCAATTTAGGATGAATATAATATTCCATTATTCATATAATTACAAACACTCAAAAGTCATATAATATTCATATTCATAATTATAATGATTATAATTAGCATAGTTTTATGTTAGTTTATGAAAATTTAATCTAGTTATATGTTTATTTTAGAAAGAAACTTAAAAAATACATATGAATGGCTATCCATATTTTTAAATGATACTACGTAGTATTTTAAAATTGTAATATCCTTTCTATATATAGATTGAGAAATCTTGTAATTGTTCATAAAAAACTATTCCATTTTAGTAGTAAAAATGGAAGATTATTACCAATCAGGGTTAGAGCATCTTCAAAGCTAAAACTTTAACGGTGCATATGTGGCATGAGAGATAGCCAATGAAAAAACAATAAATAGAATATCTCTCCTTATTTGAAGGATCTTATATCATTTTGGTAAGTTTTTCTTCACAATGTCAAGCACAATGTCTAGATGTAGACATTGTGGTTGATATTGCAGGGAAAAACTTACCAAAAACACATAAGACCGTGGAAAGACGGAGAGAGAAATTTCATAAAATCAATTTTTTTGTCTATCTCTCTCATGCCACATGTGCACCGTGCACATTGTAACATTGAAGATGCTCTTAGTATTCTTTACATGTCAACGGTTCGTTTTTTCTTTTTAAATTATCCGAATACAATATGCAGAACGAACCCGAAAATTAGAGTTCACTAACGACATGTAAATACAACCATGTTTATTCCGTTAAAATATCTCTACAATAACTTTAGTTGAATTTTTATTTATAAGTTTTATTCCATTATATTTTTATAAAAAATCTCTATTATTTTTATGTATCTTAAACGCACCATTAAGAAAAATTACTGCATATGCGATTTTGGAGACTAATGTTTGTGTTATTATTTGTGATTTGTATTTTCGAGTAATTTTATTTGAAAATAGGTTTTGAAATGTAAATTGATAAAATGATGATTTCTTATTTGGGGTTTAACCTACCTACCCAAACCCGGACTGAATCTAGGCAACCAAAAATTTCATTTGAACCAAATACATATAGGCTATAGCCTTATTCCAGCCTCCAATTTTCATACCCGAAAATTTACAGAAAATTTTCAAGTTCAGCACAAATCGACTTAGACCAGACCCATCACATCTCTAATTAAAAGCGAACATAAAGAAGTCTATGTAGGTATCATCATCATCATCATCATCGGTTAAATAGGGTGAGTTTTTGGTGGAAAATAATTATTCTGACAAAATCGGGAACTTTTTAGTCAAAAAAGCAAAGCTAATAGAAACGTTGCACGATTCTGAAGAGCTATAATAAAAGCCCTCAATTAGAGATTAAATAAGTGACGTGGCAGATTTTTTAGAGAAACATCGTTGAGTAGCATAGATTGTTTAATGAGATTATTTGCTACAATAATTTGAGATCAAAATATGAATCCGGATTATTTTAAAATTATTAAAAAAAGTATATGTAATTGAAGTTAATGTTGGACCGAAAAAATCAGGTTATTTAAAGATGATGATTGGGAGACATAAACGAATTTTGAGATTATTTAAAAATTAATTATATTACAATATTTAAAAGGTAAGAATCATAGAAAAAATTAATAATTAGAGATCATGAATGAGGATGCTCTTAAAATTGTACTATGAGTCTATTACTATTATTGTTATATATTACGCGGTATATTATATTCATATGATTCATATCCAAATACTTAATGCAACAATATGCTCTTGAGATAGATGCATTAAATAATGCATTTGTCGGTAAAACAAACATACACATTTTCAGATTGGCATAATTTTCAAACTGTGGTATGCCTCATTGTCTTAAAAGTTGGTCTTATATTTTGTTTTTCATTAGAGCACATGCCTCGGTAGGTTATTGGGTTGCTTATTCAGTTCTTTCTCCTTCAATTTAACACATTATATGTTTTATAATGTCTCCAAATTTAGAGAAACCTAGTTTTTTTTTGCACCCTCCATATGTGTGTTAAACAAGAGGGTCAAGTTTTGTCACAATGTATTCCATTAAAGTACGAGTAAAGAACTCTGTAATATCTTCTGTCCCTCTATCTTTAGATGTTCCATACAAAGCTAACTAATAACTATTGTGGTAATTCATGGAATGGGATGGGTTATACCATTATAGTGCTCTCTTGTTAAATACTTCTTCATCTCGTTAAGATTATCTCATTTTTTTACTTTTTTATCCACCCTTCTAGGATTATTCTATATCAAATTCGATAAAATTTGTGTGATTCAAGATCATTTTTACTTTTTGTCACTTTATCAATTCAATATCAAACATCATTCAATTTTTGTGTGGTTGAACCACGTACATAAACTCAAATTTCTTGATAATCGCACCATCTCCTCTTGTACCAATGTTAGACGAACAGAAGTAGTATCGTTTTTTGTTTTATCATTGATAACATCACGTGTTCTCAATTTCTTTAAATCATATTCTTAAAAATATTTACTATAATAGACTATGTAAAAAGACACAATATATAATTGCAATAAATACTTTACAATTGAATAATCAATCTCATATTTAAATAAAAGCAGAATATAAGTATCAATCTAAAGTAAAGTAAAAACCATACATATAATTTGAAAAGCTTTTCACGGGAACACATATAATCAACAAAATCAATCTTTTCTAGCAATTCCTGTTGTGATAGAGTTATGAGACCTAATCAGTCCAAGTCCCGAACATGGACTCGTCGATCCAAGTCTACAACCTGAAGCCTGCCTATCAACCCTGTGGGAGAGTCTGCCAGTCCGGCCGACCTGCCAGCCAGAAAGAGTAACTAACGGTCCAGCAACTAATGTGTTGTTTAATTATGTTCTTAATTATGTATTAATGTTGTAATTAATTAGTCATTATTACTGATAGCGGTTACAAATTGTATATGCCTATAAAAGGCAGGTTATAATTCAAATTAGGTGGCGATTTCTACATGCTATTTCCGACAACTAAACCTCTTTAGCTACTATCCTTATTTGTATTACTTTCCTTATTCTTGCTCGAGTGTTATTTTGTAGCTTTCCCAAGAACTTTCATATTCCATATGTCACTTCTTTTGAGTGTTCTTTAGCTACTTTCCTTAATTCCGTATTAATGTTGTAATTAATTAGTTAGTATTGTAGTTGACATTTACCATTTGTAATCACCTATAAAAGGCAAGTTTGATTCAAATAATAGACAAGCTATTTCTGGCAACTAAACTTCCCTTTAAAACTTTTCATTTTCGTATTACTTTCCTAATTCCTGCTTGAGTGTCTATCATAACTTTCCTAAAAGTCTACGAGTGTCCTATTTTGAACCAAAACATGTCGAATGCTTAATATTACTAATCATTAAGTTTTTCTTGATATATGGACTATGGTTGGCTCTAGATAACTATTGAGATTTTCCAAATTTGCACCCCGACCCTAGGGTCACCCTTGGTCTCACCTGAGCCTATCTTGAATCTTTTGTGCTGAATATACAAAAAAAGGATGACACCCCATCCCTGAGGGCCCCCAACACCGACCAGACGGTACATTGAGAGGATATAAATTGGATTATAATTACAATCTAACAGATAGAGAGTGGGGTTTTGAATTTTATTATACATGGTACACACTTGCAATTGATTTTTATTATTCCGTGGAAACGTTGACACTTGACACGCCAATAGGGCACCTAACTTGGCAAATGGTTCTGGCTTGTAGGAGAGTCACATCCGCTAATAACAAGGAATGATTTATTGCGCACTAAGGGCACAACTAGACATTGGATGCCTTTTATTTGGAAGGGGTACATTCCCCCTAAATTCTCTTTCACTGTTTGGCTTGCTTTCCGGAATCGGTTAACAACACAAGATATTATTTCCTATCTTAATATGGTTAATCTGTGTGACCTTTTGTAAGGGTGGTTTAGAAACGACACCACACCTTTCTTTGTTTGTTCTTTTGTGTGCAGGATTTGGACGAAGATAAGGGTCTGGATTGGAATTACTAAACAGATGACCACCTTGGAGAAAGCAATCAAGTGGATTAGGAAAGACCATGGAGGTGCACTCATAAAATCAAAAGCAGTTCGCTTGGTTTTCTGTGCGACGATTTATTGGGTCTGGCAGACTAGGAATGCCTGTCGCTTTGATGATATTACGAAGACCGAAGACGTTGTGGTAGCAAAGATCAAGGACGTGCTTTACAAGATCCTCTACAACATCTATCCTTACGATTTGATCACTTTTTTATTTCTGTAGCCACAACTAGTGTATGTTTTGTTGAACTTTTGGTGTGTGCATCTTGCAAGTTGCAACACCCTCTGTTGGCTTTTTGTCTTGGTTGTTTTTGGACCGACCATTTATTGGGTGTGTGTCTCGCTTGATTAGATGGTGACCAACTTTGTTGTTAGGTTGTTTTATAGCTTTGGACGCATATGTACATGTTATTTTTCGGATGATATATATTTATATGTTCTTCCAAAAAAAGGAATGAAATGGACTGGGCTTGTTTAACTCTAGTGGTCACACATGGCTAGTAGATTTTCATTGTACAATGTAGATTTTCAATTTTTTAGTGTAATTGTTTTTATTTTTCATATTTAGTTTA